ATCACTATTTTCCTTAAAGACCATTCTAAGCTGACTTCAAAGAGAGGTAAGAGCCTCTGAGTCTTATTTGTCAAGGTGGCTCTTGATGACCAAATTACAGCCTACATTTTAACACCACTGGCATTGACTGAGGACTCAGTAGCCTAGGCATGATGCACCCAACTCACTCTTGTGTAGTCGCAGAATAACCATGGTAGCCCCGTTTTGAGCACTAGAGAGGGCAAGCCACTCTCCGAGTCACCCAGGTGGTCAGTGTCAGAGCCCAGATTGTGACCTGGGTCAGCCTGGGCTCACACCCATGCTAGACTGTCCTTTCTGAATGACTGAACTGATCCACCTCCTTCAAGCCACCCCATTTCTGAGGAGTGGAAGGCAAATCCAGTGGTTCCAGATTGAGACAGTGCTAGCACAGTGCCAGCAGGGCTGATTTCTAACCGCATCCCCGAGACACTGTTAAACTCACAATGGCTGTGCTTAGACAACATTACGTAATAGTCCATATGCTGAGAAGCAACACTGTCCCTCGACCCGGGCCATTCAGAACTCTGAGCCTGGCCTTTCACAATTTGCTGCGTCCGTCAGACTCAGACGAGGCTCTATTTTGAATTCTAATGAGGATGGGGCACAATGAATATTTAAACTGCAATTACAAAGATGCTGCTTTTATGTGGGTGTCCTTAGCACACATAACAGATCTGAACGGACATGTAGGTGCCAATGAAAAATACCAGTCTCGTTTGTGTTTAGAAGCTGGAGAGAGACAATATTGTTTTATACTTGATGCTGTTGTTATTGGGGTGAGGGTGGGTAAAGAAAAGGGAGGTGGGGAAAAAAACCACCCAAAGATCCCAGTAAAAAAAATGTTAAAGCCCAGGCTGCCGAGTGAAAGGTTCATAAAGAGGCGTCTGAATCCTTTGTTAACAACTGAACAAACAGATTCATCATTGGGCCCTTCTGTGCAGGCCCCCTTGCAATCGGGTCTGTCTATACAACCAGAAATTTCCTCATTGGGAAAGCATCTATGACTGATATTATATCAGATCGGTAGGGCGATATGCTGGCGGTAGGAAAACAAAAGACCATTTCACGGTTCACAGCCTTTTTTTTGCACTCCCTTGAGTAAAATGATGAGGCGTCACTGCTATTCTTAGCTCACTCAAGCCCTCTTAAACAGTCATCAAGTTAACAGTAACTAACTTACCCTGAGAGGCTTAATTCCCACCCACCCCCACCCCCAAACAGTTAAAATATGCCCTACGTGCAGTTTCATGTACTACGTGTATGTGTTTACATATCAATGATCAACCTGGCCCTGCACTTGGGGAAAGCAAATGATTAACTCTTTGCTATGCCCTGAGGCTCTTAGACCAAGCCCTTACCCCACTAAACACCTTTTTTATTAAGATCATAATTTAACTTCCATGGTGTCTGGACAGCCTTTTGTAAATGCCTGCATTTACAGAAAGAGAATATGTTTTTTTTTTTCCATCTGTCCTCGAGTTGAGTCCCTCTTCTGCCAGGTACCAAATATGTCCACAGAGTCTTAAACTTCAGTTACTTTTTATTTTTAGAAGTTCTATTTGATCCCTTTTGATTTTCTAAGTTACTCTCTATAGCTTCCTATTCTCTGAAGATACTTTCAAGCCTGTCATGTCTTCCTTTAAATATAATAATTGATTTCATCATTTACATCTGAAAATTCTAATACGGCAAGTGTGTGAAGGTTGGTTTCTGCAGTCTGTTGCTGGTCCCTGCTCGTGTTGTGCTGTCTCTGTGTATGCCAGATTATCTTCGAGTGGGTGCTGGTCATTGCCCTGCATGTTTTATTTCTGGTTGACTCCTAGAGACCAAGGATAATATTCTTTCCTCCAGAGAGGTATTTCATTGCTTTTGCCAGGCACCTGGAGCTACAACAGATGAGTGTGGCTACTCAGGATACAAATGCACACGAGGGCCTTTCTGTGACCACAATTTGTCAGAAAAAAATAGTCTTTCTTCCTTTTCTTCTCCTAATCTGTTTGGGGTCAAGGCTGCCTTCTCCACAGTCCCCAAAGGCAAGTTTGGTTCTGGTTCACTTTTTCCCCCAGGGTATAGCTCTTTAGGGCCCCACTTTAATGGGGAAAGGGTCTCCTCTTACACTTCCCAGCTAGGCAGGCCCAGGACCTTACCTTCTAACCCCACTGGCCTGCCCCTCTCAGGTTGCAGAAGTCCCTGACTCCTCCCTGAAACTGGACTTTTACCAGACTAAAAAAAAAAAAAACAAGAACAAAACAAAACTAGTAGAAAGTAACTAAGAGTTTAAAGGTTGAAAGCTAAACAAAAGGTCAGGCCAGTGTGGCAGGGCCTTCTCCAAATTCAACACTGAATTACAATTTGATTCAGTGATTCTACTTCTGATGGGGCTTCCCTGATGGCTCAGATGGTAAAGAATCTTCTTGCAATGCAGGAGACCAGGTTCAATCCCTGGGTCAGGAAGATCCCCTGGAGAAGGGAATGGAAACCCAATCGAGTATTATTGCCTGGAAAATCCCAGAACAGAGAAGCCAGGTTGGCTATAATCCACAGAGTCACAAAAAGTTGGACACGACTGAGTGGTCAATGCTTTCACTTTTCACTTCTGGGCATATACACCAAAAAGCAGGGGCTTGAACTCACACTTGTACATTCATGCACACTGCAGCACTCTTCATAGCAGCTAAAGGGTGGCAACAACCCAGGAGTCCTCTGACAGATAAATGGGTAAACAAAACGTGGTATAAATATTAACAACGGGATATTACTCAGCTTAAAAAAGGAAAGAATTCCAGATGCATGGTACAACATAAGGGAATACTGAAGACATTATGCTAAGTGAAATAAGCCAGATACAAAGGGACAAATACTGTATGGTTTCATTTACGTGAGATACCTAGAGTAGTCACAGTTGCAGACAGAAGTGGTCACATTCGTAGAGACAGAAAAATTAAACAGCTCAGCTCTGAATGTTTTTATGGACATTTCTAGACACAAACATCAATACCAGGGAAAACTATAAAATAAAAAAGCAGCAACAGTAGAATCAATATTCTTCATTGTGATGTCATGAATGGTATGTGCTGAGGACCGCTATGTTGTCAATGCAAAACAGACTGACATATAATAACAGTTAATACTTACTCTTCCTCACTGCTTACTGTGTGCTAACCACTGTTCTAAGTGCTATATATCCCTATCTGTCTATCTACTTACCATCTATATCTTTATCTCTATTAAATCATGTATTCCTTATAACAACCCTCTCAGAGATGTACCATTATTATTCCCATTTTGGAGATGGGAAAATCAAGGCACAGGGGAGTGGGATTTCCCAAGGTCACACGGCCAGTGAATGGTGAAGCTGGGACGTGAGTCCAACCTCTGGACCCCACACTGTTCATTATCAGACTGTCGCCGCTCTCTGCACAAAATACGGAAATTCATGGACAATGGCCAGTGTTGGATAGTTTACATGGTTTATATAATTTCATTTTGATAATCAGGCTATCTACTTGTTGTTTTTTTTTTTAAACAGCCAAGGAAACACAAGTTCAGAAAGATTAAGTTTATATCAGAATTGAAGATAACAACAGATGGAGGTGGGAGTGAACCCATGTATCTCTGTTGCCAGAGACTCAGGATCTGATGCAAAGAACAGCGTGGTGGGAAGTTAGGAGAAGGCTGTTAAAGCAAAATCAAGAAGGCTTTGCTTTGGGCAGGAAGCAGAAAGAAGCACATGCCCTATTATAGGAGGAGGAGCACAGAGTATCTGGCTTGGCATCTGGTGGATGAGAACTGGCAGGTTGAGAGGAGCAGACAGGTGATGAAAGGGAAGCAGGAGGATGCCCCCAAGTTCCACTTCCTCTGAGATTCCACAGTCTATATATCTACCTGGCCCTCCACCACCTGGTTGTTCTAGATTTCTGTTTGACCGCATACACAGGCAAGGGAGGTAGCACTTCTCAAACTGTGCATCACAGGTGACCCTCACATAGAGGTCCTTCTTCTAAAACTGGACAGATCAGAGGGATCCACTATGTTCTTCACAGTGAAAGGGCTAAAATCAGGCAAAAAGCTAGAAGCAAAAAGTTCAGGTCATTAGATTGTTTTCTTTTTTTGGTAGTGCTATTGCATTGTTATGCATAACAAAAGTCATAGCTTTATAAACCTGGTGCACCTTTGTGAGAGGAAACACCAAATAACCATGAATGTAATGGCTGCGGCTGTCAGCACCATTCGTCGTCACTTACCTGTGGGCAAGGCACTGTGCACGGGCAACAGATCACCGAAGCCCGACAACATCTGCATCGGGATGTCTGCCCAAGAGCAAGGGCCTGCATCAGGAGTGCCTGACACACCTGTTAAATGATGAACCCTCTCGAACTCCAGCCTCCAGCCTCACTCTACTCAGTCTCAAGGGGACAGCCAGGGAATCAGCACTCTCAGCATCATTCCTGGGGATTCTTATTTTGACCTATGTTCCCTCATTTCATGCACAGGGTATTAAGAAGTAAAAGAACTGCCAAAGACAACATCACTAAATACAGGATATAAACTCAGCTGGACTTTAGACTCTATGCTCTAACTGCTCTATGTCTCCAGCTTCAGCAAGGACACTTGTGACTAAAAAACAAGGCCCCAAACAAGCAAGGTAGCCTGTAAAACCCATGAGATCTACCACCACCAGTCTGCATGACACTGTCAATTTCCCAAACTATTATTCTCAGTAAGCACGGAGGAAAGTTTCTTATTTTAAATTAAAAAAAAACAAAATTAACAATGCATTCTACTTTCCTTGCACTCCTAACAATTCACTTCATTTTCACCAAGATGTAGGGATCTTCTAGAAATTTCAACACTTTATCACATGAAACTGCATGTATTCGAAGAGCAAGCGGATCCCTTCAGTAAAATCAGACCAAACGTGGGAAGCTTATCCACAAGCAATGAGAGAAGCAAGAGCTGTAACTACAGCGATCTCTTACCACAAGACGTGGACTTCCTGTCCACCAGATTCACACGCCTGGTTTCAGTGCGAAGTTTCTCATCGGTATTCTCCACCAGGTTGGCAAGGTCATCAATTATCTCTATAAAGGAAAACAAAGATGCATGGTTAACACTCCAAAAATACCTTGGCTCACATCAGAGTCTCATAGCTGTGGTGGGCCTTCCTAGTAATAATTCTCTCAACTGCAGTGTGTGAGATGGTTTTAAAGAACTTACATTTCTTTGAAAACTGCAGTTCTGATTCACTGATGGTCGGGAGGAGTTAGAGAGGGAAGGAGTAGTAAAGAAAAAAAAAAAATTCAACATAATTCCAGGAGACAGAGGAGAAATGTCAAAAGTTCAGGGGAAAGAAAGCATGACCTAACAAATTTATGCCCGGCCAAGTTGTCATCTGAGTATAAAGGTGACAGACAGACGGTATAGAGGACTTTGGGGACCACTGGGCTCCTTCTTAAGAAAGCTGCTTGATGATGAAATCTAGCTGACCGAGAGGTGAAAAAAAATACACAACTCTGGGCTGGAGAAGCCAGAGGCCATGACACAAGAGATGATGGTAAAAACTGAATCAAATATGTGGAGCTGAGAATAAACAAATATATGGATCAGGTTACAGAGGAGTAGACAAATGTTATGAACAGTGACAATGGAATTAAAGGTGAAGATTCAAGAAGCAGTTGGTAGGGGAGGAACATGGGGAGAAAGGTGAAAAGAAACTAAGGTGTTAATTTCTTCATCACTGACATTAGAGTCATATCAGGCTGCTGAAAAGTAAGACATACACTCACAGCTTTATAAAAATAACCAAGGTTTCAATGTTTTATGCTATTTTTCTGCTAACCTTAAATGGATCTTTTAGCAATTACTACCTCCTAGAAAGAATTCTTCATGTGAAGTTTATTTTTTATGCTTATCTTTTAAAAGTGAAATTAAGCACTTAACATTTAAATAGCACATATAGTATAACCTTAATTAGGTAAAATTATTTCCATCCCTCTTTTTATATGTACCAACCTTTAAAGATGTATCCAGACAGTGTTAACCTGATGTTAATAATGATTATTTCTCAGTGGTGGGGTCCTTGGTGATCTTGCCTGTATTTTCTGAATTGCTTGAATTTATGATGAACTCTATGTGCTATTTGGTTCTCCTTCTTCCCTCCTTCCCTCTCTTCCTCTTTGTGGTTGCGGACACGATTTAGCAAATAAACAACAGATATCTGTTTGCATGTCTTTCTTTTACAGGAAGAGGATGATGGACACTAACTCTTATCTCTGTAGCTCCTATCTCTAGGAGAGTGCCTAATACACAGCAAGATCGGATAAATACTAAAAGATAAAGGGAATGAATGATTTGAGTATAAATGATAAAAGCACTGAATAATGTCAATGCACTGAATAACTTGCTGCTTCTTAGAAAAGTGGATCTAAGCCAATTTTGTCAAATATTATCTGCACAACATCTGCCTAGTAAACCAGTCACTATTATTTAACCATCCATTCACAACTATTTCCTTGTATTCAAGGATATATTCTCTCCTAGTTTTCTTTCAACTATCTATAAGCTCTGTCTGGAGTTTCCTCTTCTTTTTTTTAAAATATGTGTCTATTTATTTTTGTCTGCACTGGGTCTTAGCTGCTGTGTGCGGGCTTTAGTTGTGGTGATTGGGAGCTACTCTCTAATTGTTAGTCTCCAGGGATTCTCACTGCGGTGCCTTCTCTTGCTGTGGCGCACAGGCTCTAGGCACATGGGTGGGCTTCAGTAGTTGTGGCACACAGGGTTTAGGGGTATGTGGAATCTTTCTGGGCCTGGGATTGAACCTGTCCCCCACACTGGGGCAGGCAGGCCACCAGAGGAGTCCTCCTCTTCCTCTTAAATGTTGGTGATCCCCAGAGTTCTGTACATTCCTATTCTATTTTCATTTGAAACTATTTACATTGATTTAATTTTTAAAATATTTAAATTTTTTTAAAAAGAAAATGTCTGCTCTACACAGCTCTCCAAAAATCCTTGACTCACATAGCCAACTGCTTACTACTTGAAATTCCTACAAATATCTGTCTCACTAGGTCTCCAAAACAAAACTCCTCATCTTCCCCCAAATCTGACTCCCCTATTTTCCCTGCCTCAATTAATGAATGGTACCATCATTAATTTCTTGCCTAAGAAGGAAATCTTAGGAGTCACATGAACTTCTCCCTTCTCCTTCACTTGACATTCCATTTGTTAGCCAATTTTGTTGATTCTACCTCCCCATTACCTTTCAATCCTACCATTTCTCTTAAACTCTGTTAGTAATACCTCACAAAAAGTTTCCAGTGTTTCTAAAACTGTCCTAACTTACCCTCCTGTTTCTGTCCCTCAGTCCCTTCAATCCATTCTCCATACTCTAGTCAGGGACTTATTTTTTTAATATTTCAATTAATTTAAACAGCTGTATGTGACTAGTGATTATTATATTAACTCATTATTGACCAGGGGATTTTTTTTAAGGAATTAATAATACCTGTGGCCAGCAATTTGTTATGTAAATGATATTGACACATCAATAATGGTTGGGTAAAAAAAGATGTATTAATATGTCTCTCATCAATAATGTGTTAAACAACAGACTTCTAAAGCAATAACTTAAAAAAAAATAAAGAAAACCAAACACACACCCACCAACCATACAACTACCACCAAGAGGAATAGCTTAAAAAAAATCAATAGAGGGAATAAAACTGAATACCAAATATGCATGATTCACTCAAAAGAAGGCAAGAAAGGAGATACAGAGGACAGGACAAAAGGCCGTAAGTACCTAGATGGCAGACTTAAACTCAATTATGTCAATCATTATATTAAATATAAATGGACCAACTTCTCAACTGAAAGATAAAGAATGTCAGGCAAGATTCAAAAATAATAAAAAACCACACTACTCAACTATTTGCCTTCACAATAACTTCAAATATAAAGCACAGAAAGTATCTGTGTGATAAAGCTGGCACAGTTGTATTAATATGGATTAGATCAATTTCAAGTCAAAGAGTATGATCAGAGATAAAAAGGAATCTTTCATCAGGATGAAAGAACACGTGACAGAAGATGGAAAAAAAACCCATATTTGAATGCTAAGGGAACCTTTCCTAAATAACCTATATAACAAAAAAAGACAAAAATATCTTCTCTGGTAACTTCTATTGAACATTTTATTATAAGTCCCACACTATTCAGTAAGACAAGGGGAAAAAAGCAAAAAGATTTATTTATTTATTGTTTGTGGGACCTTACTTCCCTGACCAGGGATTGAACCTGAACCCCTTGCATTGGAAGCATGGAGTCTTAATCACTGGACCACCAGGGAAGTCCCTGCATGATATGTTTTAAAGTTGCAATAATATAAAATATTATAAAATTCAGACTTAATAAGCGTATAGCACCATAAAAAAGTCAAGTGAAAATATTCCTTGTCGAATTCTAAATGTGTCAGTTGTTATATGTTAACTGGGTTTCTGGACAGAGCTCTCATTAGATTTATAAATATTAATAACTTAGAGGTAAATAAAAAAACCAGTAGAAGATTAAACAAAAACCAGTAGTCAACACTGAATGGGTTAATGTTTTCATCTTAGACCAGACATCTTGGCTGGTAAACCTCATCTGATTACCAGTTTGTTTGCTTTCCAAAAAAAAAAGAAAAGAAAACCCTTTATTTTTAACTGATAAAAATTATATAATAGCAAATTTATAAACGAGAGATGGAAAAGTATAAGATTATCCAAACATCCCAGTAATCACTTCTATGGATTCCCTTCTAAGATTTGACATAAACATACATACTTTTATATAATTGCAATATATGAGCTTCTGCCCCCTGTTAACATATCATTTGTATGCTTTCATGTTGTTACACAGTCTTCATGGTTATAATTTCTAATGGTTACAAAATATTCATTCCATTAAAATAAACATTCATTAAAAATAGCCTATTGTGGGATACTGAGAATGCTTCTGTATTTCTACATCATGAGTCAATGAATTCTTTCCTCCATGATCATCTTCCTTCTTCTCTATTGTTTCCTTAAGTTAATTAAGTGTGATCATGACTGCCCCATGGACTTTGAAACCAAGTTAGTTTTTAAAAGGTCTGCACTGCCACTGTGGGTTGATTTAATTGAACTCACTCCTTAATATGACCTCAGAAGGAGATTTCCAAGGGCAAGGAGCCTGGGGGAATTCCCACCTTGCAGCCTAGCAGCTTCTAAGGGGGGAATTTCCCCAACCACAGACTGTTACGAGCAAATTAAATACAGGTTTCAGAACACAGGTTAAGAAACAACCAGCTGACTCTTTCAGATTCCTGACAGTACGGCCTCCAAGTGGCAACTGATATTTTGATTCCTGGTAATTATTTGCATTTGGTTTCAAGAAGGAACTTATGTTGCTATTGTGTATTAACTTGAGATACCAAGTGCCATTCCAACACAGAATGGGAAAAAATGGACAATAGGAAGTGTGATGCAAAACTGAATCAAAGAGCAGTAAGAAATATACAGCGCCAACATAGCTGAGTCTAATTATATTTAATTTTTCTATACTCAGTTACAGTCTCAGTAAATTCCATATTAGTGCCAGAAGTATGTTACATATTTTCAGATAAGTTTGGTACCTTTTGGTACTCATAGTGGATGCCGGCACTTGCAAAGTCACTGTGTTATGCCTTTAGCTTATATTGTTAATGACATTTCAAGACAAGCATTAAAAAAACCCACAACAAACAGTGAATAGAGAGCTTTTCTTGAGGGCATTAATTTAACTCCCTTTATTCCTACTATGGAAACTAAACATGGGGTGGATGATAACATCTAATAACATCTAACACTTTTCTGTAGACTAGGAAACCCTAACCCTACCCTAACCCTAGGAAAGGGGTTAGGGAAACAGAACAGAAGGAGAGATCAACCTGTGACACAGCAAAAGAAAAGTAACACAGGGGCCATGGCGCCCTAGGGTGGGGAGTTACTGCCCATCCACGCGGAGCCGCTGGGGAAAATTCGGCCTTGGAGGCCTGGGAGAAAGCTCCCTGGCTGCACCTGCT